GTCACACCCACCCATGATTTTTTGTAGGGGGAAAATCATCATATTTTAAGAGTTTTGTTTTGTTTGAGTGACAACAGAACAAATGTAGCTAGTTACATAAATAAGTGATTTTAAGACCAAGCATTTGCCAAATGGTCACATCAGGAGTGGATTCTGGACAAAGCCAAAATGCAACAACTACAAATTTAGTCAAAATTAAGTTATGGATTGAATCATGTCTATGATCTGTGACAGATGATTCAGCTATACTCAAATTTAGTGTGAAATTGATATTCAAACAATCAATTATTGAATTAAACCATTCATTTAAAAAGGACCTTAAAGCCATTTTTGGTACTTTCAGTGTTGTTATAATCACTGTGTTTTGCCTTTGTAGGCAACAAAAAGTAATTAAAAAATAAAATAAATAATAAAAACATTGTGCAAAACCCAAGATTTTTCTCATTTCATTCTACAAATGAGACTTTTTTGATATCAATACAGTTGTATCAACCTAACATTTGACTTTCTTCCTGCTACCCACCACCAAAAAACAAATGTTTAAAATTTACTTTTAATCCATAAATTAAAATGTGCTCAACAAAGTCTAGAAAAATTATTGCACATAAAACACATAAAAAGGAGAAAAAATGTCTGCCTCTTAGCCAATCAGTTACAACTAGTAAATAAAAAATGTTCTAGTACAACTAGTAACAATTAGTCAGAAAAAAGTAAAATAATTTATATACACCAGCAAAGCAGATTAGGTTTATAATGTGTCCCTTCAATGTTTTTTTCAGATTGTTCCCACTGAGCTCAATGTTCAACATTTCATGCACAAATTTTGAAGCTTTGGGAAATTGGCTTACATTTTAAAATGACCCATTAGCGCACAGTAAAACAGCTGTGCGTCAGTAATGCAGTCCATGTGAGATCATCCAAATTTGGCCATCATCAACTGGCCAGCGAGAGCAGAGCTTTCCCTGCCAATCACACGACGAAACAAGGCCAGTGACCTCACAACGACCAATAGAAAGCAGTTTACATATTTCAAAAGACCCATTTTCATGGTTTTTCAGAAATATGCCATGATCGCACAAAAAGGCAATCATTCCCCAGAGAACATACAGTGAGGGGAAAGAGTTTTGGCCGAGAGGGCTGAAACATCCAAGTTCCTGAGGCTCAATAAAAGTGTCATCGGGTGTAGTGAAGAGTGGGGCTATAAAAAAGGGCCTGTAGCCCTGAGTTCTTGCCTGCTCCACCAGGGAAATTCCCTTTGTCTTAATGTATGCAACTAATTATAGAAGGAAAGCTGTGCTGCAAATGGTGTCTATAAAATAATAAGTGTCTGTCCATAAAGTTCAAGGTGACAAACTAGCATGCAGCCCCATCAATTTATCAACAGTGGGAAAAGTGGGGCTAATGGACCTTTTAGTAGCCAGGAAAAGCAAGCGCTATGTCATGCATAGTGTACCAAGCCTGGGAAGTTAAACAGTTATATATTACAAACAGGAATGTTTCTAGTGATCAACGATAAGAGATAAAAAAAGACAAATGGATAATGATCCAGGCAGGGCATAGTGTAGACAGAAGGAATGACGCAGAAAAGTCGTAATCTTTGACCTGGATGAAAGAACGCAGCAGGGGTGCAAAAGGAAACCTGGGGTGATCAAGAGTCGTAGAGAAGCGTAGGAGGTTGGGGACGAATTACTCACGGAGGACGCATCCAAGTCGGGCAGAGAGACAGTGCGGTTTTGAGTCACCAGACAGAGGACGGCATTCACAGCTGTGCGTGTGCACACACCTGCACTTGGAAACCCTCCCAAACGCACCGCTCCGTCACCACTGCAAACACAAGACTCCTTGAGATGGACGGAGTCAGCAAACTCCACCGTCAACAAGCTCGTCCTCTCCCAAACCCATCAACTCTTTGAACCACTTCCAGCTCTTTTCTCCTCCACCAGTGTCGGAAATGCCGCTGCTTGAGGGAGATGGGAGTGAAGTCAGGCTCTTGGCTGCTGAGGGACTGCTCTTGTGTTCATTCTGGGGGCTTCGGAGGTCGGAGTTGGGGGGGATTCTGTCTGTGTTTGCATTACTACCTCCATTAAAACCTCGACATCTGCTGGGCAGATGCTCTTATCTGGGAATATCTGAGAACATTTGCATTCGAGATGAAAATGAAACCTCAAAATTAATCGAATTTTCTAATAGAGTGCTACAGCCATGAAGTCAAATTCAGGAAGACTATATTTGCCATGGGTTCCCTTAAGATTTTCCTATGGGTTTTTAATTCATGAGTAAAAAAAGGTATGTGGGAAATATAAATGGTGATACTTGGACGTTTTGCTCTTCAACGTTAATTAGACACAACCATACGCCAATTTTGCAGTTTGCAGAAGCAGTTGTTTATTTTTAAAAACATTTGTTTGTAATAAGTAATCAAATAACTAAAGTAACTAAGTAACTTACTAATAAGAAAGTTTGGGGTGTGTGTGTGTGCAGTTTATGTTGTACAACAAAACTTCCAAGAATCACCCAGTTGCAGACCTTTTTTATTTACAAATTGCAAACAAATTTATTTTTTGTTTTCTTTGCACACAAAAAGTATTCTCGTAGCTTCATAAAATTAAGGTTGAACCACTGATGTCACATGAACTATTTTAATGATGTCCTTACTACCTTTCTGGGCCTTAAATGTGTCAGTTGCGTTGCTGTCTATGCAGGGTCTGAAATCTCTCGGATTCATCAAAAATATCTTAATTTGTGTTCCGAAGAAGAACAAAGGTCTTATGGGTTTGGAACGACATAAGGGTGAGTAATTAATGACAGAATTTACATTTTTGGATGAACTATCCCTTTAATAATTTAAAAAACCTTTATCAAAACCTTTAGTGCAGCGTAAAGGTTCTATGGATGTTAAAGGTATATCATGGAACCATGAATGCCAATAAATGACTTAAAAGTAAGCATTAAAGCAACAAAAATACTGGCACTATGAAAGACGATACACAGAATTCGAGCTGCGCTTTACACCTCAGATGCAGGTTGTACCGCATCTCTCCATAAGGGACACGGAGCATGGAGCTGGGAAGCTCATCAGCCCAAATTCTTGTAGCTGGGGTGCACTGGAAGGAAATGGGGATTTGGCGTATTCCCTCCGAGCTCTTAGGAGGAGGGGGTCTGTCTCCTAAATTCATGGTAAACTAAGCAGCAGGCCGGCATTAGCAAGACAGTTTTCCAAGTGAATAAGTGGATGTTGAAAAGGGGATGTCGGTTTTCAAAGCAAACAGAGCTTTGCATGTTAACCTTCACATTCAAAGGTCCAAACATCCAGAGGAAAGGTTTGGCTGACTTCCTGCCTCTCAGTTCAGATTCCATGACCAATCCTGAAGCCTATTCTTCTCTTTGATATGATGAAAATGACCAAACAATACCCTTTTCCTGCCTAAAGACCCAAATGGGCGACATTTAAGATATTGTTTTGCCCTGAGATATGCTGCAATTTTCAAAATAACATAATAAGCTGGAAGAACAATGAAGTGTCATTTGTGGAGAGTTTAAAGAGCTCAGATCCATGTGTGTTGACATTTTTAAAGAAAATGTAGGCCTTGAAGCCGGGCAAGAATGCATGTGTCTTGTGTGTTTGAAAGGAAAATAAACATGACCCCACTGATCTACTGACAGACAAAATGACAGACAAACTGTGTGGGGTGTGTTTAGGTCATAAAGCACATCAGCATATCAGCATGAACTCACAAAACAACACTATAATGAAATTCAGAATAGCTGGGATGCATTACATACGTTTTTGTCCAATCAACATGATTTCATTGATCCAAATTGAAGCCAAAATTCTTTTTGAATAGAAACTGACATATTTTGGGGTTAATATACAGATTCCCACTTGTAACGACTGGCATCTTTTCAATGAGTTTGTATTCCCGGCTGAACTAACGAGTGAGTAAATTGAGACCAGACGGGATTCATTGGGAAGTTTTATTTGTCCACCCCGAATAGTCAGCATTCCAGCTGCTAAAGAAAATAGTGTTTGTTGAGCAAGAGGGGGGCTGTAGAGAAGTTGAGAAAGCTTGGACTTTAAATGTCTGACAAAAGATCTGATGCTGAAAGCAATCCCATGTTGAAGGGTTTTCCACTGCTGCCTATGAGCTAAGACTGAGGTAATACACATATCTTAAGAAATGAGTCTATACCATCTCAAATCAGCCTAAGGTGGTTAACCAGTCTGGTGTGATGGTTTTAGATGGGTTTTGGACACTTGCCAGGCTGGAAAACAAGCTTAAACCAACCTAAACCAGTACCAAAGTTTACAGTAGAACCCTGCTGAAAAATCACCTTAATCCAGCCCAAACTGGTTTGCTGGTTTAAGATGGTTTTGTCCAATTTGGTCTCACAATCAAGTGTTTTTAGTAGGTTTTGCTGCTCTAACTAGATAAAAGTGCAAAAAAATCCATCTAAAAACCAGACAACAGACAACCTTATAGCCTGGGAGACCAGTTAAGACCAGCTAACCATCTTAGGTTGATTTATGACATTTTTCATGCAGGCTACATTGAAATAAAAGCATACTGCATCTTTTATGAAAACATAATTAGGAACTGTGTGACATTACTCTGGAGGGAGTACACAAATCTAAAGAAATATTACTAGACAGAAGGAGGATTTGTAGTAGCTACTAAACAAGAATGAGTTTACAGGTTCAAGACATGATGATGATGACAGACACCCACACACGTCTTGGCTTGGACACATATGAATAGCCTATACACCATTACTGTGTGTTATATCAATCTCTTTGCTTAATTAACTAATCAATTTATATGCCAGTTGTTAGACGCTAAGAAATATTATTTTTAAAACTAGCTAAATATAGGCCTAGTGTAAAGTGTTAATGCTGTACAATCTATCTTTAAGATGGTTCGCAAATAAACCATATTTTCCTTATATTTGATCCTGAAAAAAATCACATTGAAAAGTATGACAAGCTGTAACACACAGCCTACCTTTACAGCTGTGCTGATCGGAGACATCAAAAGTAACGCAGCCAATGTTCGTACTCCGTTTCCAATCCTAATATCCCACTTTTGATGAAAAGGATCAACAGTTTTCCCAGCTCGTGCGCATCAGTGAGTATTCCTGCTTGCTTTGACTAAACAGCGCGTCTGGAGGCTTGGCTTCCCGTATTGTAATGTACTAAGCAATGCTGGATTCTCCGGTGTTCAGTTTCCAACACTTACAGTTGTCATCCTCACTGGATTTACTGTCCCATATATGAGTAACAGTCGCGCGTCACTCACTACAGTGCGTGCGAACGCTGAAAGAAACGCTAGCGTCAAAAACTCAACGTTAGGAATGGAACATCTTCCTTTTGGTTTCTTAGTCTCCGTTATCCACACTCACACTACATTTAGACTGAGTAGGAAATGCATTCATTTAAACATGTTAAGAAAACGCTAGTGGAGAAAGAGTGAAGAGTTTGGAGGCTACATGTGCCTTGAAAGTAAGTGAGCGCAAGTGAGAGAGAGAGGAGTATTGACGTGTGCCCCCCGTGGACACGGACTCCTTGAACTTCCTGTCAGCGTTAACTCCTTTACTGCTGCTGTCCTCATTTATCATTTTGCTTCAGGGAATATGATCAGTCACCCCAAAAGAGTACAGTTACGACGGATGAGTGCAGAGATCAGCAAAGCTCCGTTTATGTTAGGAGGGCGACTCTGAACAGCGGTAGTTTATCAACTTTGTAGAGCTATTAAAACGCGTTAAATTAGCCGGAGAGGTAATGAAGTTGTTTTAAGGCACAGTGCCAACATCCTCAGATGTCAAATCTGTTGTGATTGCATTTGTTGTTTTTCTTTACGTTGTAGACACCCCAAAACTGTAGCGGAGACCGGGGCTAGTTGTCACACTTTTTACTCAATGCATATTTCTCAGGATGGGTTTATTTAGAGACATACCGAAAGTATCTAAATTAAATAAAAATAAATAAATATTTTTTCCTGGAATACAAATGTAGACCATTTAACAGTTGTATTTTTTGTATTTTTATTATAATTATTTTTAGCCTACATCAATTTCATCTTACCATTAGACATATTTTCACACTGGGGTAAGTTGTCACATGAAAAACCATATAAAACATTAAATAAAAATTAGGGCCGGGCAACGATTAATCGCGATTAATCACATCCAACATAAAAGTTTTTGTTTATATAATATATGTGTGTGTACTGTGTATATTCATTATGTACTATAAAGACACACATACAGTATATATTTTGGAAAATATTTACATGTATATGTTTATATTCATATAATTTATATATTGTATATAAATATATTTAATATATAAACAAATATTTTTCTTAAATATATACATGCATGTGTGTG